GGCACAAGGACGCCCTGGTGTCGGGAGCCTCCTGCGAGACTTCATCTGAAAAACAAAAAGAAACCCTGTGCCTTTTACGGTTTTTTGTGGTGGTGATTTTTGTTTTGTTTTGTTTTTTTGAGGCAGAGTCTCATTGTCACCAAGGCTGGAGCGCAGTGGTGCAATCGCAGCTCACTGCAACCCCGACCTTCTGGGCTTAAGGAATCCTTTTGCCTCAGCCTCCCAAGAAGCTGGACCATGGTCACTCTGTAACCATTTGCAAATGATTTCCGACAGTGGCTGCAGAGTTCCATGGTACTTCCCCACCAGCAGTGGCAGAGCTTCCAGCTTCTCCACATCCGCTAACACTTGTCATTTTCCATTTTTATTATTCTAGACATCCCTGTGGGTGGAAAGTGATATCTCACTGTGGTCTTGGTTTGTGTCTTTAGGGAGTCTAGAGTGGCCAAGCAGCGAGCGTGAGGTGGAGTCAGGAAGGCACGGGGGTAGGGCAGAGAGGGACGGTCACTATGGAGCGAGAGAGGGGCCTGTGCTGGGTGCCATGCCTCCCACAGAGGTGCTCTGGCCACTCCTTAGCTTCTGGGTTTGGGGTTTCCTAGCAGCAAAGGCAGCAAGGGCTTGAAGCAGAGCTCATCATGAGGCCATCAGGCATTGCTGAGCAGCCTGGGGACCAGAGAGCTCCCTCCCACCCCCAAAGACCTCTGAGAATCAGGCAGCTCCTCCCTGAGCCCCCAGAACAGACACCCGGTGAATCTTGGTGTCAGGTGGGAGCTAGGTTGGGTGGGCCCCAGTCTCAGCCCACCTGCCTCATATTCCACCATCAAAGCCTGACTCTGAAAGATACCCTGGAACAAGCCACCGCCCTGGGAGCAGCAGGGCCCGCTATTGACTCACTTTCTCCAAGGAGCCTTTGGCATCCAGAAAGGGGCAGAGGGTGGGGGCTGGAAACGGGGTGGGCAGCAGGGCACCCTCATGCTGATTTCCCGGGCTTCGGACCCACCTGTAGTACTGGGGCCGCGGTCACCAAGCCTGTCCTCCCACAGAGGAACCTGCCACTCAAGCTGCTCATCATGTCGGCCACGCTGCGGGTGGAGGACTTCACCCAGAACCCGCGGCTCTTTGCCAAGCCGCCCCCGGTCATCAAGGTAACGCAGGGTCCCAGGTCCTCCGTGAGCTTGGACGGCACAAGGACGCCCTGGTGTCGGGAGCCTCCTGAGAGACCTCGCTTGGTCCCATGGGGGATTGACAGCAGCTTGGAGAGGGTGTTGGAAACCTTGATTCAGAATGATGGGGAAAGGGAAGACAGCCCTGGGCCGAAGCTCGCCCCCCACCGCGCCTTTCTGGGCATCCTACAGGTGGAATCCAGGCAGTTCCCAGTAACTGTGCATTTCAACAAGCGGACACCACTGGAAGACTACAGCGGCGAGTGCTTCCGGAAGATTTGCAAGATCCACCGGATGCTGCCCGCAGGTGAGGCCCTGGCCAGGTCAGGGGAAAGGAGCCTCCCTTCCTAAACCCTCGCTGAAGGCACAAGTGTGGGAGGGCCCATCTCCGAGTGGCTCAGAAAAGTCCCTTGTCCCTGCTAGGCCTTACTTCCTCACTTACTCCTGAGTGTTCACAACACCTGTCCTGCCTTATTCCACTCAAAATACTGTGAGGCTTCAGCAGCTACCAGATGGTAGAGTTTGCCATCTGTCCCCATCTGATAAGCAGAAAAACCCACAGAGCCCAGGCCGGTGCTGGCAGGTGACCATAGACACTGCAGGGGAACAGGCACATCCCCTCGAGAATCACGGATACCCTTCACAGTTCTGCCTTGTCCCCATCACACCCGATCCTTTACTCACCTCATGTTACGGAAATGGACGTGACCTTTCTGTGTGAATAGATTGTGATCACTTCTAGCCAGTGATCACTTCTACTTTTTTTTGAGACAGAGTTTTACTTTTGTTGCCCAGGCTGGAGTGCAGTGGCGGATCTCGGCACACTGCAACCTCCGCCTCCTGGGTTCAAGCAATTCTCCTGCCTCAGCCTCCCAAGGAGTTGAGATTACAGGTGCACACTGCCACGCCCAGCTAATTTTTTGTATTTTAGTAGAGATGGGGTTTCATCATGTTGGCCAGGCTGGTCTCGAACTCCTGACCTCAGGTGATCTGCCTGCCTCAGCCTCCCAAAGTGCTGGGATTACAGGTGTGAGCCACCGCGCCCAGCCTAATCAGAGACTCTTGTGTGCCGAATTCGGGCCCAAGGCTGACTTTCTTCATGTTAGGGAGGCAGGGAGCCGTGGGGGTGCTTCCCACCAAGCTTGAACTCCTCCTTCAAGGAAGCTGAGGTCGCTGCTTCATGATGCTCTGTCCTTGCTCTGCTTACAGCCTCTCGGGGCTCCCATCCATTCTCTGGGAGACTGGGGCTGGCGGGAGGCGAGGCGGAAACTTGGGCAGTGGGCCTTCCTGCAGCCTCGGGTCTCAGGGCAGCCACGGCGCTGTCACAAGTGTGGTGTGCAGGTTTTCACTTGAGCACATTTCTCAGGGCTTTTGGGTCTGTGCCTGGGAGTGGCGTTGCTGGGCTGTGTGGTCGCTGTGTTTGTTGAACTCCCTGGCAACAGCTCCTTCAGTCTGGGGGTGCTGCCTCCTGCTTGTCTATGTCTGTGTACCCCTGTCCTCCCGCATTATCCCTGGAGCCCCGCCTCTCAGAGCAGGGCCTGGCAGGTGCCCATTGCTAAGCAAATGTTTGTGAGTGACTGATGGATAACGGAGGGGCCTGTTCTTTCTGCAGGTGGCATCCTGGTGTTCCTGACGGGGCAAGCTGAGGTGCACGCGCTGTGCCGCAGGCTCAGGAAGGCTTTCCCACCCTCCAGAGCCCGGCCACAAGGTAAAGAGGACTCCCCGACCTGCGCTCTGCCCTGAGCAGCTGGGCTTGGCCTCACGCTCCCTGGCTGGGGTGCAGCTCCCGCCTCTGAGCTTCCCTCTGGGAGCGTCAGCACCTTTGCCGTCCCCCACCTCACCCCCGAATAAATGGCCGTGCCTTGAACAACAAAGAGCAGTGTGCTAGTGACCATGCAGGCCACACGCGTCTTTCTCTCCAACCTGCCCCTTTTCCAGAAAAGGACGATGATCAGAAAGACTCAGCACAGGAAATGCGGAAGTTTAAGAAGTCGAGGGCCAGGGCCAAGAAGGCGCGGACCGAGGTACGTGGGGGGCTGGCAGGGACTCCTGGAGAGTAAGGCTGCGTTGTCCAGGATAGCAGCCGCCAGCCCCATGTGGCTGCTTAGGTTTAAGTGTAATTGGAATAAAATGAAATTAAAAATCCATTTCCTGGTCGGGCGCAGTGGCTCATGCCTGTAATTCCAGCACTTTGGGAGGCCAAGGTGGGAGGATCGTTTAAGGCCTAGAGTTTGAGACCAGCCTGGGCAACATGGTGAGACCCTGTCTCTACAAAAAATTTTTAAAATTAATCCAGTGTGGTGGCACATGCCTGTAGGCCCAGCTGCTCAGAGGCTGAGGTGGGAGAACTATCTGAGCCCAGGAGGTCAAGGCTGCAGTGAGCCGTGATGGCCCCACTGCACTCCAGCCTGGGCAACAGAGTGAGACTCTGTCTCTGAAAAGGAAAAGAAGGCCAGGCGTGGTGGCTATGCCTGTAATCCCAGCACTTTGGGAGACTGAGGCGGGTGGATCACCTGAGGTCAGGAGTTCAAGTCCAGCTTGACCAACATGGCGAAACCCCGTCTCTACTAAAAAGACAAAATTAGCCAGGCATGGTGATATGCGCCTGTACTCCCAGCTACTCTGGGATGGCTGGGCTGGGAGGTGCTTTCCTCTAGCCTCTGCATGAAGGCACCGTGGGTCTTGCGGTCCGTGACAGTAGCGTAAGTACTCAGCCATCTCCAGCTTGCCTGTTGCACTACTGATGTGTCAGGCAGTGATCCAAGTTCTTCACATGTGTTCGCACAACCCTCCCACCAGCCTGAGAGACAAGGTCTGTGATAGTCCCCATTGTTTAGGTGGGAAAACTCAGACAGGAAGAGATAGTTGGGTCACACGGCCCGGGGGTGTGGACCGGGCTTCCACATGAGGGCACCTGTCTTCCTGCACATGCCTCATCCTCACGCCCAGGGTCCCTGCAGCCCGGGTGTCTATGTGTTCGCCATAGGTGCTGCCCCAGATCAACTTGGATCATTACTCGGTGTTGCCGGCAGGTGAAGGCGATGAGGACAGGGAGGCGGAAGTGGACGAGGAAGAGGGGGCCCTGGACTCCGACCTCGATCTGGACTTGGGGGATGGCGGGCAAGATGGAGGTGTGTTCCTAGCCCCGCTTCCTGCTCACATGCATTAGCTCTGCCCTGAGGCTGTGCCCAGAGCCCTTGTGGCCCCCTGGGGGCCGGGGTTCTAGCAGCTTTGTCCTCGATGCTTCCTGAGTTCTTTGAAAGTGCCCGGCACGAGGAGGCCTGGAACATTTGCCGTACTGGATGTAATGGGGCTGCCAACCCCTTTGCTGACAGGTGCGGGTCTCCAGGGCCCAGGGGTGTTGCCCCGCTCCTTGTGCTCGCAGGAGCCCCCGAATGTAGATGGACCCAGTGCCCTGCTGTGCCTAGCCAGGGGCTGAGTGGGACAGCAGAGGGTACCCCAGTACTGGCTCAGCCTGAGCCTACCACAGTGCTGCCAGGACACGAAGAGCAGAGTCAGGCCCCCAGGATCCATGCCAGGGGTTTGGAGGAGGAGATTGTGCAGCACAGCAGGGGTTCAGATCCGACTCAGGGCAGTAGAGATAAGAGAGCCCCTGGGAACCTCTCAGCAGTCCCCCCAGGCTTGGCCTGGCTGGTCCCAAGGGGAGCCTCCTCAGCAGGGCAAAGAAAGGAGTTCTGGTGGAGCAGCCTACGGGTGCAGGGCAGCTGTGGCTGGCTCCTGCCTGTGGGCATCTGTCCCGACCCGGGTGCCAGTAACCTCTGCTTTCCCTCCAGGTGAGCAGCCGGACGCCTCCCTCCCACTCCACGTGCTCCCGCTGTACTCTCTGCTGGCCCCAGAGAAGCAAGCACAGGTAACCGTGCTGGGCCGGTGCCCAGCTTTTGGGGCACTTTTAAGGACATTGCAGTGAGGTTAGTCAAGCCCTTGGTCCTCTCCATCTGCTGTTTGACCAGCATCCCCAGAGTTTTGAGGAATATTGAGGTAGTTTTGGAGAATAGGGAACAGTCCTGCAAGGCACTGGGTCCCAGATGGGATGGCTTGTCCTTGCTACCTCTCCAGCACACCAGCCTGGCTGGCTCTGTCCTTGGACCTCCATTCTACGATTTCTTTCCTGATTCTGGTGTTTTCCTGCCATCCCCTCCCTGAATCCTAGGTCTTTAAGCCTCCACCGGAGGGGACTCGGTTGTGTGTTGTGGCCACCAACGTTGCCGAGACGTCTCTTACCATCCCTGGCATCAAGTACGTGGTGGACTGTGGGAAGGTCAAGAAGCGTTACTACGACCGCGTCACCGGCGTGTCCTCCTTCCGTGTCACCTGGGTCTCCCAGGCATCAGCTGACCAGCGAGCAGGCAGAGCAGGACGGACAGAGCCCGGCCACTGCTACAGGTAGGTTACCCAGGCTCCTCCTCAGGGACGTTGGTGCCGCCTTGCAATAGCCACTGAGGAACAAGGGAAGGACACTGACCCCACCTCCATCTGTAGTGCATCCCGTGTCCTGCTTTGGGGTGCTCCCCAGCCCTTTTGCTGGCTTTCAGATACTCACAGTATTTCTTTCTTTCTTTTTTTTTTTTTGAGATGAAGTTTCACTCTTGTCACCCAGACTGGAGTGCAATGGCGCGATCTCGGCTCACTGCAACCTCCACCTCCTAGATTCAAGCAATTCTCCTGCCTCAGCCTCCTGAGTAGCTGGGACTACAGGTGCCCACCACCACTCCCAGCTAATTTTTGTATTTTAATTTTGTTTATTTATTTAAATTTTTGTATTTTTAGTAGGGACAAGGTTTCAGCATGTTGGCCAGACTGGTCTCAAACTCCTGACCTCAGGTGATCCACCCGCCTCAGCCTCCCAAAGTGTTGGGATTACAGACGTGAGCCACCGCGCTCGGCCTACTTGCACTCTTTCTTTTTTTTTTCTTTTTTTTTTTTCAAGATGGAGTCTTGCTCTGTCGCCCAGGCTAGAGTGCAGTGGCGCGATCTCGGCTTACTGCAAGCTCCACCTCCCGGGTTCACGCCATTCTCCTGCCTCAGCCTCCCGAGTAGCTGGGACTACAGGCGCCCGCCACCATGCCCGGCTAATTTTGTATTTTTTTATTTTTACTTTTTGTATTTTTAGTAGAGATGGGGTTTCACTGTGTTAGCCAGGGTGGTCTCGATCTCCTGACCTCGTGATCCGCCCATCTTGGCCTCCCAAAGTGCTGGGATTACAGGCATGAGCCACCGTGCCCAGCCCACTGTTTCTTTATTCTGCTACTGAGGTCAGGGCCAGTTCTTGAGTGCTGTTTGTTTTGTTAACAGCTTGATCAGGATATAATTCACATACCATAAAGTGCATAATTTTAGAGCGTATAGTCCAGGAGTTTTTAGGACAGTCACAGAGTTCTGCAACCATCACCACAGTCAATGTCAGAACTTCCCATCAACCCAAAAAGAAACCCCGTGGCCGTTGCGATCACTCCTCATTCTTCCCTGCCCCAGCCTGTGGCAAGCACCAGTCCGCTAGTGTTTGTCTCTAGGGATGTGCCTGTTGTGGACAGTTCAGATAAATGCAATAAAGTCATACAAGGTGTCGCCCCTTGTGTCTGGCCTCTGCCGCTCAGCACGGTTAAGTTTTCGAGGCTCACCCTGGGTAGCCGGTGTTAGCTCCCCGCTCCTGGCCGTGGCTGAATGATATCGCACCATATGGATGTGCCAAGCTTTGTTTGTCGATTCATCAGCTGGTGGACGTTTGGTTGTTTTCACCTCGTGGCTATTGTGGATAGTGCTGCTCTGAACACTCAGGTACAAGGATTTGCCTGACTCTGTTTTCATTGCTCTTGCAGTGGAACCTAAGAGAACCACTGTGCCGTATGGTAACTCTGGGTTTAACTTACCGAGGAACCACCAAACTGTTTTCCACAGCAGCTGCCCCATTTTACATGCCTACCAGCAGTGAATGAGGGTTTCAGTTTCTTCACATCCTCACCAACACTTTTTTATTTTTTTTTTGAGATGGAGTCTCACTCTGTCACCCAGGCTGGAGCGCAGTGGTGCAATCTCAGCTCACTGCAACCTCCGCCTCCCGGGTTCAAGTAGTTCTCCTGCCTCAGCCTCCCGAGTAGCTGGAATGATAGGCATGCATCACCATGTCCATATAAGTTTTTGGTTTGTTTGTTTGTTTTGTTTTTGAGACTGAATTGGTGACTGTTCTACCAAAAATAAATTGGCGGGCACATGGCTCATGCCTGTAATCCCAGCACTTTGGATGCTGAGCAGGTGATCACCTGAGGTCAGGAGTTCGAGACCAGCCTGGCCAACATGGTGAAATCCCATTCTACTAAAAATACAAAAATTAGCTGGGTGGTGGTGGTACCTGTAATCTCAGCTACTTGGGAGGCTGGGGAAGGAGAATTGCTGGAACCCGGAGGCGGAGGTTGCAGTGAGGTGAGATTGAGCCATTGCACTCTAGCCCAGGCTGACAACAGCGGACTCA